GCACTGAGGGAGAGGAACTCAAGAGTGTGGAAGGCTCTGGAAGATCACAATGTTAATCATCCCGATTAGCGGTAGTATTGCTTCATTCTAGGAACAACTATCGAGTCTAAACGTCTGTGATGCTAAGACGTTTCACGTATACAACACAATTACATAACAATTTGCAAGAACGTTTCCCTTTTTTTTTGTTTTTCACCGAGATATTATTTGGAGATTTTAGAAAAAAAAACAATACAACCTAGCGGCAAGTACAGAAAGCTCTGGCGGTAAATTCGCTCTCCAGCCTTCTCGAGCGAGTCGGATATTCACAGCACCCGGCGGCCTAAAGACGAGGCCGTCAAAGCAGGCGCGAAAACACGCGATGAAAATCGCCAATAGATAAACTGGACTTGCCTTTGTCCTATATATGGCAATGACAACTCAAGACACGCAAGGCATGGCGAATCTCGAACTGCCACAGCCAATGAGATAACGGCATGAGCAGACAAGATCGCTAAAGAGACAATCAGCATGCTAGAAGCGGGAACGCAATGACCCCGCCTTTCTTAAGCCGCCATTGACTATACGTCCCTACTGCAAGAACACTCGGGCCGCAGAAACGCTTTTCAATGACAGGATCGCATCCTCATCGTCCTTGTAGTGCATTGAGAGCGAAATAGCGATATATTTTCGACGCTTCGCGAGGATGATGCGTGTCCTTGACCCCTTGCCGTCAGTCGGGGCAAGCAAAGATCACTCGTTTAAAACTACCTGGCGCTTCGCTAATCGCGCCACGCCATCAACCAGAAAGGTCGAACTCGATCGACGGGGCGTACTCTTCGACTCGGAGATAATCGTCCCGAAGATGGCTTTACGATCGGGCAGAAACAACTGCGCGCTTCAAGTACAGCGCGTTTCGATTCCTCTTCCCCCCGCTTTCTCGCGAACGGACACCGGTTAGGTCACTAAATCTTGGCCTGGAAGTTTAACGAGTCCTCAGGTACAAAGGCCTCATGGTTAAAGAGATCCCTGCTTGGGTGCACGCGTTCTGGGCGCAGGGGCTGATACATCATCGGAGCTTGCCAGGGCCGGACTATCCAGGGTTCAAAGGGTTAAAATGAACCGGGTCCTTCTCGACTCCCAAATGGTGAAAAAAAAGGCGGCTCAGGTAATTTAACTTGCAAGACACAAACGTTAGCTAAATGTCAGCCAGATATTAACTATGATGGCAACAATCAAACAGAGTTGGTTGAATGAAAGAATGACTGCATATACATAGCATATGCTTGTCTCTTATTACCGCTTTCAGCAAGTGGTGTGACTGTTTTAGTATGGATCATGAGATGCATGACTGAGCGTTTTACTTTCAAGTCTCGAGCTAAGAACATAGTAAAACAACACTGGAAAAAGACAATCAGGCCAGCTTTACTCCACGGTGCCGTACAAGTCTCGTTAAAAAGCATAACAAACCCGATTTCACAACACATTTATTCACCTGGCGAGCTTCGGTCTGGCGACCTTGGCTAAACATATCTACGCCAAATAGACATGCGTGCGCCTTTATCGCTTGTGCGTGAAACCTGGAAATATAATGTATCAAGTGTTTAGAGCGCAGCTCTTGTGCGCCTGTTTCCGGTTGAGCGGCGTCACCGTCGCCGCCGGCGTAACAGCGCGTTGCATTATGGGACGTTTCCCATGATGACGTCGCACGTGACGTCACGTTTGACGTCACTCTCGTTACGTCACACGGCTCCTAAGTTTAGCGGGAATACTTCCTTGCTAAATTTAACGGGGAAATATTCCCGCTAAATTTAATGGGGAAATATTCCTGCTAAATCTATCAGAAAAAGTGCTCCGTTAAATGTAGGGGCAAAATTTCCCCGCTAGATTTAGAGAAAAAATTCTTCCGCCAAATTGTTCGCTAAATTTTTTCTGCTAGATGTAGCGGGTAAATTCTTCCGCTAAACTTAGCGAAAAAACATTCCCGCCAAATTCAGCAAAAAAATGTCCCCACTAAATTTAGCAGAAAAATGTTCCCGGTAAATTTAGCGGAAATGTTTTCCCTCTAAACTTAGCAGAAAAATTTTCCAGCTAGATTTAGCGGGGACGTTTTTCTGCTAAACTTAGGAAAAAAAAACATTTTAGCTGAAATAAACTCTCGGCTGAATTTAACGGAAAATCCCCCGCTAAATTTAGCGGGAAATCTAACGAAAATTTCCCGCTAAATGAAAAGGAAACAGAAGAGGAGGAGGGGCATATCCTCCCCTCCGTACCCTCCGCTCTCCTCCTCCTCAAGAGCTGCGCTCTAATTCGGCATACCGTATTTACTCGAGTAATAGCCGCACTGTTTATGAAGGAAACCTGAGGTTTCGCTTTTCCGCGGAGCACGCGAATTGCCAATCACCGCAATCGACAGCGTGATTCCAGCGGTTTACAGGACAGAGATAGCGTCTTCGCGCGAAGATACTATCTGTGAAGATTGCATTTGCGTGGAGAATCTTGTTCTCGATCTAGTTATTCGCTAAGTAATTTATGCGCAACGCGATGATTGGGTGTATATGTGTTTTGGGGGAAAACAGACGCAAGGGCCTTGTTCATAAGTAGTGCGGCTATTACTAGAGTAAATGCGTAACAAAAAATTGGGGGTAAACGTCTTTAATTTTTTTTTTGTTACACTGCTTTGTCTTTTTTGCATGAAATTCTTGTGGGAAGGGTTTTGCGCATTGACCGTTTATTTTGTCCAGCAACTATAATACATCTCCTCTGGGAATGCAGAGCCACTGTTTTGGGTCGATGACAGCGACCTTCCCGCTTGTCATCGACCCAAAACTTTCGTAGAGTGGACGCGACCAGGGGGCGACATACAGCATAGGAAGATTGTGCTGGACTCTCTGCTTAAGTTCATTCGAGAAGCCGGCATCCGGCACTATTCTTAAACATTTCGTCCTCATCATATTCCTCATCTCTCACCCCTCATCTTCCCCACAAATGACGTAAGGTCAAGGTGGTAGGAAAATCATTAAAATACGTCTTAAACAAACAATATAAACTAATTACCCCGGAGTTTATTAATAGCAAAATCTGGAAGTTTCTTTTAAAGCATATTAATACAACAAAAGAGGCAGGCTGCAAAAGAAGCCCCTCAATGTTCAGTGTGCGCACGTTTCAAGATGTGAAGTCTTATGCTAAAAAAATTTCATCCAAATTAGAGGAGCTAGTAAACACGCGGAACACACAAAGTCACCCGTATATGTTTTAGAGCTTACAAAATTTCGTTAGAAGCGCAGGCTATGTGACGACAAGGCCGAGTTGGGTGCATAGCGTTGGCTTCGCATTCTCCAAAATCTTAGGGAACAGTTGTACAAAATGCAATACCTTAAACAGAATTGAAAAAAAAAAATCATTGAATCAAGGAAAGGGACAAAAAAATAAGTGAATGTTTAATGTAGGCCCAATAAAAATTGTCAAGCGTTTTTTTTACGATCTTACATGTAGGGTATCGTAATCGCCAATTAAAATTTCGACTTATACCCGTGCGTGGAATGCGGTACGCCCGGAGTGTCGCGCGCTGATTGGCCGTCCGCTCAAATGTCATTCGTTGTAAAGGGCATTCGAGTTGCCCGTGTGGCACGGGTATTAGCCCCGTCCGTTGCGGTGCGCCGAGTGAAGGAGAGAGTGAGGGAGGAGAGAAGAACTAGGCAAAAGTAACGTCATCGGTGGGGTTAGAAGACCCTTGCTCGACAGTAGCTGGCTCGGGGAGGCCAACGATGACATCAAGACGCTTTGGACAGATTACAAGCGGCAGAGCGGCTTGCTGCATGTCCTGCTGCAATCGCTAATTGATTTTGCGGCTGCCTTTCAGCAAGGTCACTTTTTCGTCTGCCACCCTTGGTAACGCCGGAGACCTATACGTATTCAAATTGAGCAGATTTGAACATGGCCGATATCATGGTAAATTGGAAAAGGCTTATTAACGAAAATATTGTGCGCACCTCCCCCCTTCCCCCCCCCCCCAAAAAAAAAAAAAAAAGAAGAAAAAGTACAAATTGTAAAATGAATTTCGGCTAGCGGACTTTTCAATCTGGGTGTCCCCGAGCACATAAGCAATATGACACCCATTGCTCTTTCTTTGGCAACCCGTCGCGGAAAATCTCAAAATTCAGATCACAGCTCACCGATTTCCTTAGTGGTTTTACGTCGTCGTTAAACTCCACCAAGTAAGCACTGTACTGTTGTTACGTGTACCTACATCACCAACTACAAACAGAAGCTAGTTTAAAATGAGAATCGTACGTTTCTTCATAGCCGCCTATTCAGTAAAGTGGCCGCGTTGTGTGATTGCCATACGACCTTCGCGTCAGGCCTGCATCTGTTTCGGCCACCATTGATTACTTGGTGGCTTAGTTCTTTTTAATTTTTCCTGCAAATGTACCGCTTTTGAGCAAACATTAATGTGCAATGCGTTTTATTCTGAACATATAGGTTTTATTATTAATCATATTTAAAAAAGAAAATATTTAAAGAAGTAGTTTATGTACTCCCTAATTTTATGGCTTGTTCAGTGTGACGTTGCAAAAAAATAATTCAACGTGTTTTTATGTCATTTAAGCAGTAACGCTATTCAATCGCTGTCAAATGTCTTTCGGACAGTTGCGTTAAAGACAAAAAGTATGACTTGGTTTGTAGGTTCCTAATTTGCCGTTGTATTCACAGAAGCGAATATGTTAACCGTTTATAAAGGCGCTTTGCAGTCTTTTTTGAATATTTAGGTAGGGTATTTTGTAATATTTTCAGTCGCCTTTCGTCGCCTAACTTTGTAATTCCCCTGATATTAGTAATATTTCTCACTTGGCGTATAAAACATCATAAAAAAAGGCACATAGAATGTTGTTTTTATTTTACTAGCGTATAATTAAAAAAAAACAAAAAACGAAAGACTTGAAAAGAAGTGCCAATTTTTCCGGTTAGATATTAAACGAGCTAGGGGTATCCGAATAAAAATAACAAAGAAGAACTAATGTTTAGTAAAAATGTGGATGCATGGCGTTTTTCGTATCGGAAACGCCGATAAAGTCACGGGACTTGAATTTAGCGCTTATTTTGTTTTCCTGATATTGGCTTTCAGAAAGTTTTAATTTCTCGCGCTAAAGCCGAGAAGTAATAAAAACTTCTGGTACATGTAATTATGTTGTTAACTTGGCATATATATATATTTTTTGTTTTATTTAATACATTTAAGTAAATCCTTGCAGGTGCAGCTCATCTAAGCATTACCTGAACTGCTTCTTCTGTCCCAGCGAGCTGCGTCTCGAGCTGAGTCATCATTTCGTCCACCTCATCCTCCAGCCAGTCCCCTCTTTGCATTCTTCGGCAGTCTTCCACGATACTCTCACAAACTACCGACTGCATGTGTGCCGTCAGCCTTTCGGTGACTTCGAGTTGTTTCATATAACCCTTGAAATGTCTTGTCACGAGTCCATCCCAGGTCGTCACCACCAGTGTTGCAATTACTTTGCACCCGGTGTACATTACGATGAGCTCATGTTTCAGTAGGTCGTATTTCTGTGATTTTCGTAACTTGGTCTTGGCCAAGATGTTCTTGTTGGTGATGCCAACCTCAATCAGTGTGATTTCCTTTGTTCTCCGGTCATATATCATCAGGTCGAGCTTGTTGTATTCAAGGAACAGTTCCGTCGTGATCTTTACGACTGATTTGATTTTACCATATCGTTCGATATTACCTTTTTAACTTGGTAATTCTTCAGCTTACTGCTTCGATTCAATCCATACTTATTAGTGTAAAATGTGCAGCATCTGTTGACTTTATCGTGGCGTTTCTTGTAGTACAGTACACAATCTGTCGCTAGGTGCTTCACCGATCTTGAGCCCTTGAAGTCGTGGGGACATCTTTCTGACATTCACCCAAAGTACAGGTTACGATCTTCTAATTTAATGAACATCCCATCCTGCTGTGGCAGCATGTTGCCATTCACCAGCCACATTTATGACATTCTTTGTTCGTAAATGCTTGGCATAACACTGATGCTGTCGTCGTCGTTATCCTCGGTTCGGGCATCTTCGTTGGCACTGTCTCCAATATTGAAAAGAATGCCGTGCATCACCGTCTCCTTTATTCGCCAATCGACCCTCTTCCTGTTTTTTTTTCGGATGTTTTTCTCAGTCAGGTTGGTCTCTTTAGGTTGGTACTTTTTCATCAGGTACTCGTATATTCGCCCGAGCTTTTTTGTTTTCTTTTTCTTCTGTTCCATCGGCGGTCTTGTCTTCGGGTTATTTTCGAGATATTTGAACATTTTTAAGAGCATTAGCTCAGCTTTCTCCTCCACGCAAGCGAGTCCTCTTCACAGTTGGTCGCGCTTCAGGTATAGCCGGTCCATATGCGCCGCATTCATCGTCACCTTGTACTCGCTCAGGATCTTCCTCAACTCATTGTCAATCGTTTGGTATTCTATCAGATTGAAGGGCAGGATACGTATATAGTAATTGAGTGTCGAGAGGGCAAATTCGTTGATTCCTCTAAATAGTTTGCAAGCGTTTGGCTTTGTCTTGCAAAGCATTAACGTTATTTTGGTGAACCTTTTTGGTAACGACGACCTTGTTCTCATCTTTCACCACATTTCGAGAGTCCTTCAGGATGCCCAGATACTTGTAACCTCTGTGATTGTCCACCATCCCCCAGAAGACTCCACTGTCCATGACGTTACTCGCCACTTCTGCTGATTCACCCTTAGTCCCATCCGAGAGAGCGTTTTTTCGGTTAGGCCACACAGCCTCGTCAGCGTCTCTTCTGAGTCTGCTAGTAATTTGATGTCGTCAATGAAAATCAAATGGTTGCGTTCGATGTCGCCCATCTGTAATTGTTCACATGTTCTGTTTAATTCGGCGGCTCAAAGGTTCCAATGCGAGGACGAACAGCAACGGCGAGAGACCATCACCCTGAAGGAATCCTTTGTTAATTCTCACTCGGCGAATCTCGCCCTGATGACAAACCAGGCTGGTGCGTTGGAAGGCCAGCGTCCGCTTGACGAATTTGATGACGCTCTCCGGCATGCCTAACTTCGTCAGTACGGCTACTAAGTAGTCGTGTTGGGCGCCGTAATACGTTTGTTGGATATCAATCTAGGACGTGAACAGCTCGTTGTCGTGCGTTTGGTTCAGCACTTTGTTGAGGAGGGCTTGCTGTTTGGCATCTTGGCAGCTTCTTCAAGTACCTATCTGGTTGGCCGAGATCACCTCATTCATCTCGTACAGGTTCGTCACCAGGGCTGTGACAACCTTGCTGAGCAGCTTGTAGATGTTCGGGAGACAAGTTATAGAACGCAGCTCTTTTCCCTGGCTTGCTCGTTTCGTCTTTGCGATAAGGTACGTCGTGCCTCGGTACAGTCGCTCGTCAATCTGTCTGGGGTCATCGACTGCTTTGACTAGGAAGTCGGTGAGACGAAAGTAAAGTGCAGTCAGTTTTTTAATGAAAAAAAAAAAACTTTATACGGCGTCGGGTCCTGGTGTCTTCCAGTTGGATAGGAACTTGATCTTATCCTCATGATCCTCTTGACTCTTTTTTCATCAGCTTCGGTCTGCAGCTCCATTGGGTTAAATAGGTCAATCAATTCCTGGTGCTCCCCTTCTTCGTTATCGGTCACCCAGATTCCCCGCCAGAAAGTAATCACCTCATCAATATTGATGCTCACGTCAATCTCCCTCTGGTCTTCGTCAAATTTCTGGCAGAAGACGGACCGAATAAATTCAGCAAGCTTGCTTATTCTCCGATACTCGGTCCGGTTCGCAGCAATCACCAGTTTTCTGAAAGACCGCCCTTTTCTTTTCGAGTTGATCCTCAAGCTTCTTTAACGTGTCCTCGTTGTTCGAGTGGTATTGGTTGGCTTTGCAATTTCGTTTTAGTGCTCTCGAGGGAGCCTCGTTTTGTTTGAGACTGGTGGCAACTTGCAGCTGTTGACTAAACTTCTCGATTTTTTTTAATGGTCTCTTTCCAGTTCACCTCTTTCTTTGGCTTCTTGGTGACCTCCTCATATGTCAGCTGTCAAGCGTAGATCAAATCATTCAGCTCTACTATAGTGTTCGCCTTCTTTTCCAGGTTCTCTCGCTCGATCACCAGATTGAACATCTCGATGACCTGATAGTTTACTTCCTGACTGTATACCTTTCTTGTTCTTCATATTGGTGCACAGTTGGCTGTTTGTTATGGTCACTGGCAAAGGCCGTTCGTTTTCCTCAGCTACCTGACCATTGCCTGATTGAGTAGGTTGTTGTCTATTTTTTCACCGGGTATAATTGTTCTTCATCGTTTTCGACGTTACATTCTCGTTGTGCTTCCGACTATACTCGATTGTTATTTTTGGCGACCAATTATTAAGCATTCGTCCATGTGGTCCTTACTTCGCTCGATCACCAGGGCCAACCATCTCTCTGGTGTTGTCTCCCTGTCGGCTCGCCTCCCGATCGCCGCAAAAGCCACTTCTCTGTAACCGGATTCCACGTCATCCTCGCCATTTAGGTCGGTTGGTGGTTCAGTTGGTTGATGGTCATGAACTGTTGGGTTGGCGCTGTTGTTATCGTCGGTGATGGCAGCTGACGTTGGTGCCAAATGCGTCAATGGCCGTTGCATCCGCGAGTCGTCGCTGATTTCGGTGGGGTTTTTAGTTCCGGCGCTAGGAGATTTCTTATTTCGGGTTTCCATCACTGTTTGGCAGTGACACAGTCGTTCGTTTTCCGATAAACTCCAAAAAAACCAGTATCTCGGCAATCACATATACACACATAGCCTCAATACTCACGAAGCCTGGCAGTTCGACGACGGGGCCATGGATCAGGTGCCTGGTCGCAGATTTGGAGCACGAGGATATGGTAGCACAGAGCATTTTTCCGGGAACTTGGACGTCAGCGCATAGCTTTTGCAACGGCGAGGACCCAAAACATGGTTTTGAAACCCGACAAGAAAAGAAGCGGTAGCAAAGGAGCGCGAGGAGCACAAGCGGACATTGTATCGCTCAGGAGAAGTGTGTTTCCGCGTATCGCCGCAGCGGGGCACCCGTCACGTGGCTCTCCTCTCATCCGTTGTATGCAGCTCTACCTTTTCAATTTTGGCGGCCGCTTCTCGTGGTGTTCTGACAGGTTTTGTCAGTATTGGGCAGGAGATCGAACTATAGGGGGAGCTTTTTCGAGCTTGTTGTCCCCACAGCACGCTGTTTACTAACACAGAATAACAAAGAAATTGAACCTCGCATGCACGGTCTGGACACGAGCGCTTCACTCTTACCAGTGCTTTGGTTGCACGAGGAGCGGCTTTCGAATCGTCACCATCGATATCGCTGATCAAAAATAAACAAGAAAATTCGGTTTGTTGTCCCCACAGCTGAAGCGTGCCGCCAGAGGCGTGACTGTTCGATCTCCTCCCCAATAGGGGAGTCTATGGCTGGAGCTATAACGCAGGCGCAGGGCACGAAACGGCAGGAGCCGTCTTGTGCACTGCCGCCTGCCTCCTATTAACTAAAGTTATGGCGGCGCCACGGATGCGGTGAACACCTGGTGGCATCAATCTGTTGGGGCGAACACCCATTAGTTAACTAAGCTAGAGCGCCAGCTCAGTTGAACTCAATGATCGTTAGCGGCTCAATGACAGTTGTCGCTACCGCCGATTGTGATTGAGTCAACTATCGTTGACCTAAAACACCTGCAAAAAAAGTCAACAACAACAAACACACAAAAAGAAAAACGTTTTTTTAAAACAGTCTGGTTGGGACACGCGTGGTAAAAAATTAATTTCACGCGAACAAGTACTTCTTTAGAGCAATTTTGACGGCGCGAGACACGATTTAGTCGGTAGTCACCTCCTTTCCAGTTGTTTTCTCTCCCGGCATTTCGGGCACGTGGAGGAGAGGACGATCGGCTTCGCCTTCACGTTGAGGGGGGAAAGACCGAATGACCATTTCGTTGAGCGAATGACCATTCCGTGACGTCATAGACTTTGCGCGCAGAATTTCAAATAAATCTCTAGCCGTCAATATTGCTCTAAAACTTTTTTTTTTTTCGCGTAAAAATTATTTTTTTGGCACGCGTGTCCCAACCAGACTGTTTAACAAAAAGCTTTTTCCTTGCAAGTGCCCTTTATAGGGAGTTTTCGTAGATCATTTTTGCCGTCCCGCCACGCTCTCCGCAAGCGGATACGACACCCAGAAGTCTACAGTCAAGGCCAATGGCGCGCAGGCGCAGTAGCGGCTTCTTCATTGCGGAGGGCTTAGCGGAGGAGAAAACGCAGTGTACGAACACTCTCTATTGACTGTTAAGAGCGCTGGTGTAACTAGGGTACACGGGGGTCCGTTCAACAATGATGAGTTGGAATGTTTCTTTGGAAGTGTACTGGCGCTATAGCGTGACCCGAGTGTAGCCCCAGGGCAGTAAACTGGAGGTGCCTCGGTCGGCTCGGTCGGGGGCACATGCTCGACTGGACATTCGAGCTCTAGATCGGGTTCGATGATTGCGGTCACGGACCGCCTTAGAGTTGAAGAAATCTCGCATAAGCTGGTGCTACCAACACCTCCTAAAAGCTAAGGCCGTAGTGTTCCGAGTCGTGACGTCACAATGGCCTGAAAAAGGGAGCCACGTCCATAAAAAGCTCACACTCTGGTTCTCTTTGCCCCGGTAACGTCGTCTGCTCACTCAGTTCGCGTGGTTTGTTCTTGCGCATTTATCCGGCATTAGTATACGTTTCAAATACGCAGTCTTGTATGATTTGTTACATATATAATATAAACGTAATACATAACGCGTTACCAAGGTTGAAAGTATCAAATTTATATTTATGATTATCCCGTAACCACAAGATCACAGTGCAGTCCCGCTGCTCCCCACACTTTTTGAATGAACCGGCTACGGTGGCGACATT